CAAATGTCAGTAAGAATACTCTTTCTTCAAATTACTGAGTGCAATGTTCCAGATATATTGAGATTTTAATACCTGCCTACTTCAGCAATACAATTTCTTTCCTTTTGTATTGATGGCTTGTATATATATGTGTGGTGGAAAATGAGATTCATAGAAGGACTGACTTACTCTGCACTAAACTTTCTTTTTAAGCCATTTTCTGCTGCCTGACAGTTAGGTTGCTGTATAAGACAGCAATTATGCTATTAATACATGAGACCTGAACAAAATGTTTGCTACGAACTTTTAACACAACACTTTAAGAAACCCATCACATTAAAAATTCACATACAATGTTCTCCCTAGGCTGACTAAGTATTCAGCATTATTGTTTCCCTCCTACAGACAGTAAACACTGAAATACACATCTTTGCATCTTTCACGAAAAGACCATACAAAAGGCAGTCAAACACAACTAAATCTGTGAAGTCTGAACAAGAGTAGAGATTTGAATCTGCTCCATTGATATTCAAATCCAACCAGTTGGCACTTGTATCATTTAGATCAGTGTTTCTCAATCTGGGGGTCGGGACCCCTGAGGGGGTCACAAGGGGGGTGCCAGAGGTGTCACCAAATACTGTATTTTCTGTTGGTCATGGGGGTTCTGTGTGGGAAGTTTGGCCCAATTCTATTGTTGATGGGGTTCAGAATGCTCTTTGATTGTGAACTATAAATCCCACAAAGACAACTCCAAATGTCAAGGTCTATTTTCCCCAAACTTCACCAGTGTTCACAATTGGGCATATTGAGTATTTGTGCTAAGTTTGGTCCAGATCCATCATTGTTTGAGTCCACACTGCTCTCTGGATGTAGGTGAACTACAACTCCAAAATTCAAGGTCAATGTCCACCAAACCCTTCCACTATTTTCCGTTTGTCATGGAAGTTCTGTGTGCCAAGTTTGGTTCAATTCCATCATTGGTGGAGTTCAGAATGCTCTTTCACTGTAGGTTAACTATAAATCCCAGTAACTACAACTCCCAAATGACAAAATCAACCCCACCCCAACACCAGTATTCAAATTTGGGCGTATTGGGTACTTGTGCCAAATTTCATCCAGTGAATGAAAATATATCCTGCATACCTGCATATCAGATATTTACATTATGATTCAGAACAGTAGCAAAATGACAGTTATGAAGTAGCAATGCAAATAATGTTATGGTTGTGGGTTACCACAACATAAGGAACTGTATTAAGAGGTAGTGGCATTGGGAAAGTTGAAAAACACTGTGAACTTTAAACAACTGGATAAATATATATTTCACATAATAGAAATTAACTCCCCCCAATTAGTTTCTAAGAGGCCCCTGGATACCATTATGACTTTTGACACAGCTATCTCATTGAATACTGCCATGGCTCAAGGCTATGAAATCAAGCTGGAATATGTCCAAAGGAGGGCAACTAAACTGATCAAGGGGCTGGAAAACAAGCCCTATGAGGAGCGGCTTAAAGAACTGGGCATGTTTACCCTGCAAAAGAGAAGACTGAGAGGAGACATGATAGCCATGTATAAATATGTGAGGGAAAGTCATAGGGAGGAGGGAGCAGGCTTGTTTTCTGCTGCTCTGGAGATTAGGACCGGAACAGTGGCTTCAAACTACAGGGAAGGAGATTCCACCTGAACATTAGGATGAGCTTCCTAACTGTGAGAGCTGATCAGCAGTGGAAATCTCTGCCCCAAACTGTGGTAGAGGCTCCTTCTTTGTAGGCTTTTTAACAGAGGCTGGATGGCCATCTGTCTGGGGTGCTCCGAATGTGATTTTCCTGCTTTTTGGCAAGGTGTTGGACTGGATGGCCCATGAGGTCTCATCCACCTCAATGATTCTATCATTCTATGATTCTATGAAATCATGGGAACTGAAGTTTCACACAATCTTTCTCCTTTTCTGCCAAAGAGGGATGGTGTCTCATCAGCTCTCCTGATTCTATGACATTGAGCCAGGGCAGTCAAAGTGGTGTCAAACTTCATTAATTCTTTAGTGTAGATTTGTGTGTGTGTGTCAAAAGCATTGCATAAAAAGGGGGACACGGAAAGTGCCTGCTCAAAGACTGAGTAAATACAGTTGGGTGTCCCCTGGACAACGTTTCTTGTAAATGGTTAATCTTTCCAGCCCAAAAGCATTGCTTATAGCAGGAACAGGCAAACTTTGGCTGTCCAGGTTTTTTGGACTTCAACACCCACAATTTCTAACAGCTGACTGGCTGTTAGAAATTGTGGGATTGGAAGTCCAAAATACCCAGACAGCCGAAGTTTGCCCATATCTGGTTTATAGTGTAGGTTCATCCTAAGGGAAAGTAAGCCGAGTGAATCATCAGGCAAATGGTGGGGAAAAGTAGGCAATTTGTCTTTACTGAGCTTACAACTCTTCAGCCCAGATCCTTCATTAAGTTAAACTTTCCATTATGAATTAGAACACTGCCTCAGTAAAACAAAAACTGGATTGGGTTTCATACTTTAGCACTCATAATGAATGGGTAGCGGCTACACATTGCAATGCCATCACACCCTCATGCCTTTGACGCTAGCCAGACTAAATAAGTGAAAACAGGTTCCACAAAGCTTCCTAAGAGAAAACGTAAACCAGTGAAAAATTTATGGTAGGAAAACTGTTGACTAAACAAAACAAAGCAAAAATCTGCCCTTTCTCCTGCCAAGAACATTGTATCATTTAAAATTTAAATGGGACACTTGAAAAAAAAGAGAAAAGAAAAGGTAACACATTGTTCCCAGGGTCAAATACATTTCTGATGAAAAGAAATTCAAGCCATTATTGCTGGAAGTATGGCTGGGTGGATATTTGGCTTTACCCTAGGATAAATGTTATAGTACTTCTTGCTTAGTGCAGAGTTTTCTACAATGAGAGGAAGACAAAAACAAACCAAACCAAGAGATGTGTAATTCACACAGCTATGGTTATCCATAGCAGTGATGTTCTGCATCCTGCCAGGAATGCCATCTAGTGGATATACTTCTTGTACATATGCTATTCCTAATACAAAGTACCAAACACAAATGCACTTTAGGAGTAGATGCTTGACAAACGCTGTCACATTGCCTCAAAGATCTGATAAATACTGGTATTTGAGCCAACCGATGTGTAATGGCACCTAATTCAGAGTGAAAGAAAATCAGTGACTGTTGCAGAGAAGCAGAGAATTTTGGCTACATTTCGGCCCCTGTAAGAAAAATAAGATATTGTCTCCATCCTGCGGGAGAGTAACTGTCAGAAGTAATATTGTGAATGCTAATCAAGGAGCCTTTGTCAACATGGTCCTTCTAGTGAAGAGAATATTAACTTGACACATAAGCCAAGAGTTCAAATGGAGGGAATGGTTCTCTTTGAAGAGCAGGGTATATTTACATTTGTAACAGCAAGCGTTATTTCTTGCTATTAATCTGTTTGTCATGAATATGATGGGTGCAGTAGAGAACTGGGAGTACAGTAGAGTCTCACTTATCCAACTCCACTCATCCAACGTCTTGTATTATTCAACGCAGTCTGCCTCCTGCCTGGATACACAGCTGTCTCAATACATTGTGATGTTTTGGTGCTAAATTCGTAAATACAATAATTACTACATAACATCATATATTGAACTGCTTTTTCTGTTGTTTTTTTTGTAAAACATGATGTTTTGGTGCTTAATTTGTAAGATCAAAACGTAATTTGACATTTAATAGGCTTTTCTTTAATCCCGCATTATCCAACATTTTAATTTATCCAACGTTCTGCCAGCCCATTTATGTTGGATAAGCAAGACTCTACTATAGTTATTTGAGTATGGTATTCCTCCTTGAATTGAAGATGGTTTGATTGCAGAGTTTTGTATAATATGTCCATTTATCCAAGGATTTGACATCATGGTTTCACTTACCCATGCTTCAAAAAACATCCCCATATCCCACTCAGAAGTGTTTGAGGACCTCCTTTAGTCTACAAGCGATTATTTGGCATACTTTGGTCCACAGGTAATCAAAATATAGGATTTGGTATTATGAACGGTTTCAGATATCCACAAGGGATTTTGGCACATATCCCCTATGGAAAAGGGGTCCTTGAGGTCTCCCTTCTTCAGAGGTTTTAAACAAAAGAAGGATGGACATCTCTTGGGAGTTCTCTGATGACATGGTGTTGGACTAGATGTTGTGGTCTCTTCCAACTCTATGGTTCTATGATTCTAAGTTGGTGTAGTACAGAAGAAATCACCTTAGTATCCTCTGGAGTTTGGTTTCTCCCGTGGATACCAAATCAATGGATGCTCAAATCCTGTCATATACAATGGCATAGTCACATGATGCCATTGATTTCTACCTTATCAAAGTTTGCATTTTGGAATAAAAAGAATTAAGCTGTAGATCAGTGGTTCCCAACCTTTTTCTGACCAGGGACCACTTTGACCAGGAACCACTCTCCAACATTAATACCAAAAGGGTTATGAATCAGTTTTTGGTGAATGTTAGATTTGGTTTGGTGTGGCGATTCAGGAAATCCCATTAGATAGACGACATCAGCTCTAGTTTTTGATACAAAACATATGCCATGGTCAGAGACAGGGAAAGGCCGTGTGAAAGGAGTGGAAATAAAATAAACAAAACAAAATAAATAAATAAATAAAGAGGAAGGAGTCTCGCAGACCAGATTTTCATCTTGGTGGCCCACTGGTGGTCCGCGGCCCACAGGTTAAGAACCACTGCTGTAGATGGTTGACTCATTGGATACCTGCACTGATCTATATTTGCATTTTACTTTAATTTGTCTTTTTAATGGCGACTTTATACCTCCTTAGGATTTTGTAAATGCATTGCATTATTTTGAATAAATACAGTCTCAAGACAATTTGCTCTTCAGCATTTCTAAAGTGAATAGTTCTTAATCTCCCTACCTGCAGCCTTCTTTGCCCTGCCTTGCTAGTAGCAGAATTCTTTTCAGTACTACCTTTTCAGGTGTTCCTTACCTCTGGGATGAGGTATTTCACCACAATTTCTCTGCCTTTCTCTCCTAATTTTGCATCTGGAGTAACTTCATATTCTGCCTGGAAAAGAAAAGAAAGAAATGCTATTCAGTTGTGTCATTTTCTTAACATACAGAAAAAAGTGTTGTATTCAAAGAATTTGGAGAATAATCTATAGGTATCTATTCAAATAGGCAGGGTCGTCTGTTTTAGCATTTTAAAAAGATATAATGAAATCCAATAGCAGCTTTGATGGCATATACCTTCATTGATTCAATAAAATGTGAAGCTGCTGCTTCTTTCCAAGGGCTCAAATCCCCACTCAAACATGGAAACCCACTTGAGCAAGTCATACTTTTTCAGCGTCAGAAGAAGGCAACCCCCTTTTGAATAAATATTGCCAAAGAATACCTATGAAAGTGTCACCTTAAGGTCGCATAACAACTTGAAGGCAAGTAAGAACAGGAACATGTAAACCTGAGTAGATACAGCTGTATTGAAAGGCTTGGCTGAAAATACAAGATTTGTTAGCTTTGACAACTTCATTTATAAGCAAACAATGCAAACAAGCAATTAAAAGATAAGACACATACACCAAAAAGTCACCCTTGCATCCGTGAGGACAACATTTTGACTGTCACTAGCAAAAAGCCTTCCTCATTTCTAGCAGCCAGTCTATTGGAAGGCAAGCTAGCTTTAAAGGAGGCACTAAACAGGGCACAAAACAAAAGTGCTGTAAAGTGGGGGATCTCAAACTTCAGTCCTCCAGATATCTTAGATTTCAGCCGGTTTCTAAAAGCCCCAGTCAACATAACCAATACTCAGGGATTTTGGTAGTTGAAGTTCTAAACATATAGAGGTCAAATAGTAGCTCTGGATGCATATGAGTAACCAAATATTCAAATGTGAGTTTCTCAGGGTAAACAGGAAAAAATCAGGGAGAACATTATACTGCATGTCTCTGTCTATCACTGTGTGTCTCCCCATATCAAGTGGCTTTGAAGGAACCACTTTAGGCTGTTTTCTGTGCAGAGCTTTAAAACATTTTCTTTGGTTGGGCCACAATTCCCATGCTTTCTTAACAACAGTGCTGGCCAAATGTTCAGAGTTGGGAAAGTGTGTTGCTTTCGTCATTGTTGTTGTTGTTTGTGTTCCTGCAGAGTTTGGATAACTTAGTATTCATATACCCCGGACTGTAAAAAGACTCCTTCTATACCTAGGACATCCTCTTCCACTGAGTGTGCAACTTCAGGAGAGACGCACATAAAGCGATAAGGGAGAAAGGGGACACCCACCTAGCCAGCCAGATCAGCCAAATCAATCCTAGCAATCAATGGGGTGACAGATGTCGCAGCCAGATCGCCCTCATATCCAACTTAGTATTGAATATTAATATATTAAGAGCCCCATATCCACAGGGAATACATTTCTGGACTCTGCATGGATATGCAAAACCACAGGTAATAGTGTACTCTATTGAAAAAAGGAGGTACAGCCTAAGAATATCAAAGAGTCATGCTAGAGGACCTAGAAAATGCCCAGAGAAGCTATACTTTGCCAGAAGTGAATAAATGAAACCACAGGCACTAGTCCCATGATATTGAGGATATACTATATGCAATTTTTGAATTATGCTTACCGTAGTTATCTAAATTTCATGCAACTGTGCTTAATGTTATCATCAGAGACCTTTCCTGTGACATTCACAGGAGGAGTCCCTAAACCTCAGATTTTGGCCCCAAAGTCTTCAAAGCTGGGATGATTCGGACTTGGCAATGTTAGGGGACAGCATCCTCATAAAGTGGATTCTTTCCCCCATTTCAAACTATGGTTGGCATCCTGTTAGTTAGTCCTAGGTAGAGTAGACCCATTCAATCAATTTCTGAATGGTAAATCATCATTTAGATCAACTTTTAATAATAATAATAATAATAATAATAATAATAATAATAATAATAATAGGAGCAACCCCAGGGACCATTCAGTTCAACTCCCTTTTGCCATGCAGGAAAAGCACAATCAAGGCACCTCCTGAGCAGTGGGAGCAAAATAGGGTATTGGAAGCAAAGAAGAGTCTGAATGGCAAGAAAAAGGTGGAGAGGGAAAAGGGTCTATGCCCTGGGAGGACAATATGGTTGCTGCTGCTGGTGGTGGTGCTGCTTCAACAGCTCCAAACTTTAATTTTCTGCATTTTTCAAAGGAGGAGGAGGAAAGAGGAGGAGGTGGGAAGCAGCATAGCACTGCGGAGCCCCTCACTATCATTTGCGGAGCCCCAAGGGCTCAGCGGAGCACAGTTTGGGAACCCCTGTTTTAGATAAATCCCAATGACTGAAGGAGTTTATTCAACTTAACTGAATTTAGCTCTCTCTGATATACTGAGTATTGTGGCATTCTGAAAAGCACTTCTCACCGTGATGAAAGTAAGATAGTTATGTTTTCAGCCAGCACTTTAGATAAATACAGAAGGATTCAGTTGTTACTTCTGCCAGCACACCTTAGAAGTAGATTACACTTCATTTTTTAAAAAAACCCTAGAAAATGTGAAATAAGCTTCTAAGATAGCTATGCTGCATTTAAGGAATGCATAGATGGTGAAAATACATGACTACAGACCTTCCACTATTATAACTGTATAGGGATGGACCAATTAAATACCCATAAAACTGAATATAAAAGGGTTTTCAAAGTTCTTTCATCCAATTTCCTGTCCATTTAGATACTATCTGATACAGGTCATTTTGCTTCTTGAAAGCATGAACAGGCAGGCATGTTTATAGCATCTTAAAGGCATTTGTTCCCTCCTCCCACACCTACCCTTTTGAACCTATTTTAAAGTATAAAAAAACCACATGGATAAAAGAACTCTTTTTAAAAGGTTAGAAAACCAGAAGGCTTATCTCAGCTGTCACAATTTATGATCGCTGCAAAGACAGGATTGCAGGCACCAGCAAGATTAAAGAACTATTAACATCCAAAGCACTACTAATAGGAAAGAAAATGTTTGTATTTCAACTTCTATGCGGGGTATAGCCACACAAAGACCTGAAAAGGACAAAGAGGCAAAACAGTTCAAAATGCAAATCATGTCCTCGCCCAACACAAATCATTGCCAAATAATTATGACACAATTTGCTTCTTTCACTACCTTTCAAAGTGTACTTTCAGCTCTATAACAATCTGATAATGTCCTATAGCATCGTACCCAGATGGTGATGCTGGGGGACATGCTTGGATCCCTGGCCATTGACTTGTGGGGTCCCACAAGGTTCCATTCTTTCCCCCATGCATTTTAATATTGACATTAAACTGCTGGCTGAGGTCATCCAGAGTTTTGGAGTTGGGTGCCATCTCTATGCAGATGACATACAACTCTTCTACTCTTTTCCACCTAATACTGGGGAAGCTCCTTGGATGCTAAACCAGTGCCTGGCAGCTGTGACAGATTGGATGAGGGCCAACAAGCTGAAGCTTAATCCAGACAAGACAGAGGTCCTCCTGATCAGTCGCGAGGCCAATCAGGGTATAGAGTGGCTGCCTGTACTCGATGGGTTTCACTCCCCCTGAGGACAAAGGTCCACAGTCTGGGGGTTCTCCTGGATTCTTCACTGATGCTTGAGGCTCAGGTGTCAGTGGTAGCTGGGAGGGCCGTTGCGACCGTACCTCGAGAAACCTGACTTAGCCATGGTGGTCCAAGCCTTAGTTGAATCCAGAATGGACTATTGTAATGCATTCTACATGGAGTTGACTCAGAAATTGTAACTAGTGAAGAGAGTGGCAGCCAGATTATTAATTGGTATGAGCTTTAGGGAGTAAACTACCCCCCTTTTAAAGCAGCTCCACTGGTTCCCAATAAGTTTCTGGGCCCAATTCAAAATGCAGGTGATTACCTATAAAGCTCTATTTGCTTCAGGTCCAACCTGTCTTCAAGACCACACCTCCTTCTACGAATTGGCACAGGCATTACTGCTGGGAAGGCCCTTCTTTCGGTCCCACCACCATCTCAAGCATAGTTGGTGGGGATGAGAAAGAGGGCTGTCTCGGTGGTGGCTCTCTGGCTCTGGAATACCCTCCCTAAAGAAATTAGATTAGCCCCCTCTCTTCAGGCCTTCCGGATGAGTCTAAAAACATGGCTCTTCTGACAGGCCTTTGATCCTGAGTAATCCATGGCAATGTGATGAGTCGTTGATAGTACTGGCCCACCCTTTGATTGATTGTTATGACAGATATAGAAATTAACCATTCAAGAACAATTTTTAGTCTTGCTTTACAGTCCCAACTAGATTCCAATTATTACTATATAGTAACTCCTAAACATAGTTTACATAAATCTCAAAAGGAGAATAGTACAAATGTCAGATTTATTTACATAACACAACTGTCAGGGTTATATACATAACACAACTATTTAGTCTTGCTTTACAACCTGAAGAAGGATCCCCGAAAAAAGAATATGGTACCCGGGATTACTTGTTGTTGTGCTATGCATATAATCCTGACAGTTGTGTTATGTATATAAATCTGACATTTGTACTATTCTCCTTTTGAGATTTATGTAGACTATGTTTAGTATAGTAACTATTAGAACCCATTTGGGACTGTAAAGGTGCTGAGCACTTCAAGGGTCCTTTGTTTGGAGAACCAAATAGCTTAACCTTTGAGCACCGGATTCTAAATCCTCTCCATAACTCTGTCTCCATAACCCTGTAACTCCAACTAAATATATATATACATTAGAAATGGATAGAATAGGGAAGGGTGAAAACCCCTGTGGTGTTTGTTTTGCTGTCAGTTCCCCTGATCAGAAGATTTCACCTCACTTTCTGTCCCTGTGATAACTGGATTTTGGAAAATTTGGCTTGTTGTGGAAACTAGGATTGGAGAGAAAGCTTTAGTGGAGACAGCTTTTTCCCATAATTCCTCCAGGAGTGAATTTCCATCCGAAGGGTAGATCTCTCTCACTTCATGTTGTCCCAGTCCTCTTTTTAACTATGAGTTATTTGTAAGTTGGGTATCTCTAACTCAAGGACTGCCTGTATGCATAGCCCTTTGAAGGCAACCATACACCTGATGTGGCCCTTGGT